TTGACCCTTTCTAAGTGTTTGCTTCAGACTAAATATGAATTATGTGTCTTTTTACACACACAATAACTTTCAATTAAAACCCCTAACTTTTTTGCAGTTTTCCAAGCCAAAACTCTGTTTGTCAAGTTTCATTCCAGCTCTTTCTGCACAGTTAAAAGTTCCTCGATTTTGTGGTTACAAAATTGCTGACAAACACAGTATGCAATGGTGTGTATCAGTTATGAGCATTCAGTTCATTTTTTCCTTTTAAGGTCATTCTTTCATTAAGTTAGTTTCACTCTCTGCTGTTTATGATACCAACACTTTCTTCCTTATTTTCTTCCTTCCTTTTCCCTCTTAAATGGCACCCATTTCCCAAGGATGGTATCTGTACTGAAGTTCATTGTCAGATTTGTAGCTTATCAGTAGGAACTATTCAATTGTTTTATTTAATCCATCTATTTATTTTTTTTCTACCAAGACACTAATCTTCTCTCAGTTTTAAAGGGCACTGTCTTCTGCCAAACTCACTTTTGAATAGCCTGGGTTAAGCTTATGTTCCCAGTCAGGCAGTCGACTTTTCAAAAAAAGGATGTAACAGCTTCTTTGTTTGGAAAAGAGGAGAGAGGAAGAGAGACAAATTCTTGTTTCAGGTATAGACATTTCCTGCAAATTCTGAGTGCAGTTAGACTACTTATTCCCTTATCCCACTGGCTGCCAGTAGAAACTGATTTATTTACATTAGTGGTCTACTCTTGGATTGAAAGCCTTCCATTGTTTGGCTGAGCTGGTATTTAGTTAACACTTGTGTGCTGCCTGTGTGCAGCATAACCAGCTATGGAAATGACCATAATGCATATAACCGTCCATTGTCTCCCTCCTCGGTCTCACTCCAGCTCCAACATGTGTGTTTGGATTGTAATGTTCCATCTGTGGACTAAATATTTCTCTTAATCATACAATATGACTTTTTTAAAAACTCAGATGTGTACGCGTCTCTGTATTGCTTCCAGAGTTGGCAGGCAACATCAGCATTCCATAGCTGTCTGAGTGAGCCAAATTTGGAAGCAGAGTAAATTCGAGTAGTCTGGCTCTGGATTCATAAAGATAATGCCTCTGGCAGAAAGGGCGTCCATCTTGTTCAGAGATGTCCCTTTAGGATTGCCTTCAGATTTCTCACTAGCTGTCATGGTCTGTGTCTTCAAGAGAAGAGGACTGAGTGTGATGCATCAGTAAACTTTTTAATAACTGCAAGAAGGTGTTGCCTCTGAAATTTCTTTGTTGGAGCATGCAATAAGGGGCAGACAGAAGTGGCAGCTTTAACATGAGCGACATATCCAAACACATCTACACTGCCCTGTTATGTGAAAATATCCAAAAGCATCACTGACTAAAGGTATAGAGCGGCACCACAGGGCAACTGGGAAAGTGGTGATAGTCATTTGAGCACATGCTTAAGCACAGCGCTCCCCTTCCTTTTCCCTCCCCACACATAAAAAAACCAAAATGCAAAAGCTCTGATTCTGATTAGTTTGAAGATCTCTATGGCTTCTTGATTCAGACCTCCTCCTTAATACTAATAAGTGTTAATAGTGGTTTAATATGGTAAAAAATAACTTCTGCCAGCTTCTTTCTTGGATATGGCTCACTGCCCTTTTCCTTCAATTTTTATGGAGATGGAATACTCTAGAAGATGTCTCAGGCAATTAGTATTTTTTCCTAAAGCCAGCATGGTTGTTCTATAATCAACTAAATTTTGTGATGGAAGCTACTGAAGTCTTGGGGTTCCTCAGTTCTCAATACTGCTGCCATGTGCACTGCCTGCAGTAGGAGGCAGAGCAAGAGAGATTTCTCAAATCCTTTATGTGTCCTCTGTTTGAGAAGTAGGTGCACAGCTTTTCCACCAAGATGGAGCCATGAGCTTCACTCCCTCTGTACACATCCCACCTCATATTCCTGAACATATCTCTCAGATGTTCTGTCCTAGGAGGAGAGAGAGAGCAAATAGTTTTCCTCTGTTTGGATCAGGAAATGGATGTTTGGCAGGGACTGGTGTCCGTTTGTTCATCTCATCTCCACCTGACTACCTGCTGCCTCTTTTCAGAGCTTGTTAAAGGAAAACACTGTGCAGTTAATTTAACAAACCCTTTCAGCGAGGCAGAGAGGAAGCAATCAAGACACTGCAAAATGCTGCACTTGGAGCTATAGAGTGTGACTTTTGGAGACATGAGAATTGAGGCAAGTGGGGAAAGTCATCAGCATGTCACTCTTACATTGCAAATGTAAGACAGATTACTATTGTAGTGTTTCCTTCTGCATCAGCCAAACTAGCCCACTGCCTTTTGTATTAGTGTGGGGTTTGAAGTTTTTGTTTGTTTTTCTTTTTTTGTCTGAGCCAAATGTGCAAGGAACTACAGCAGGAACTGTATTTCCATTGCATGTGTGGCTCAATCATCTGGAAGAGCAAGGGTAGGAGGTAGTCAAAGCTATGGATCTTTTGAGGAACATTAACACTGCAGCTCCTTAATTCTAGACTTTTTATTTGTGTATATGATCATTTTTTCTGAAGTTGTAGTCTCTCTTACTTCCTTTGCTTTCTGAAGTAAAATACTCTTTTAGAGCTTTGTTACACTAAATTTACTGCAATACAAGACAGAATTCAACTCCAAGAGGTGTTTGCTTTGATAACTTTGACTGCCACAGGAGCTTTGTGAAACATCAGTAAGCAGCATGGAAGCTAGTTTAATATTACAGTACTGTTACTATAAAATATAATCTCAAATTATTTCAGACAGAGCGTAATAAGAGTAACTATGGAAACTTTGCCTGAAGACTTGAAAGTATAGGGCATCTGGTAGGCTCACTCATTTGTAGGCAGGAGAGAATTCTGGGTTATTGCTTGGATTAAGGAGGAAAACTGGTAATGAGTAGAGGAGCTTGGTGCAGCAGGGGCTGCACCTTAACATTAGGTCTGAATGGTGCATGTATGTTATGACCTTCTTACCCATGTTGGAGAACTCACATATTTTTATAGAAAAAATGATTTTTCTCAACCAACATAATCTGGGGTTATTTCTTCTGCCTGGTTTTTTAGTTGAGGTTTTGGTTGGTTTGGGATTTTTGGGGTGTTGTGTTGTTTTAGTTTATTTGTCAGGATTTTTAAGGAAGTGGAAACTTCCATAGGAAAAAAAAATGGCTTACTCAAACATATTAGGAGTGAGGGAGGCAAAACAGTCGTGTGTTTTGGTTTTCTTGTTTTACTTTGCTTTTTAACATCTGACTGAGTATTTTGAGCTGGATTAATACTTTATTGGTCTTGAATAACAGAAGCTAAGGCTGATGAGGGGAATCCTAAATCCTTGTCTCTAAGGTTACAATTTGTACTATCACATTATTTCATGTTTCTATTAAACACCTTTAATGCTATTAAGAGAAGCTCAGCAACTTTGCCTGGGAGGAGGAGAACATGAGAGACCAGGACTGTTCATGTTGATACAGGTGTTCAGAAGTTTTGGTGCCCAGCTTGAAGGTCTTACTAGTCAGCTGACTTTGAAAATGTGACTTCTGGTGCCTTTTTGGCACCCTGGATTTGACTGTTGTGTTCACAGAGTGCAGGTATGTGAGAGCAGTGTATTTCTAGTGCATTCATTGTGTGGAGTCTTCTATTTTGTTTTGGTTTTGTTTAGCTCTGGCTTAGGAACAATGGTTTTTTAACTTTACAGTATCTCATGTAATAAAGCATGTTTCAACCTGCATGGAATGTGGCTTTCCATCAGTGTGGAGTGACTCATTTTTCATAGTTGTTTGGGCAGAGGGCTGCATCAGAAAGTATTATGCATTAAAATCTATGAATAAACTTCCCTCTAGAATTTGCAAATTCTGTGCTGGCATGCTTTTTCTGGTCCAGAAGGCGCATAAAAGTCACAGCTCCCAACAAGATTTGATGGCTATTGCTCAAAACCTATTAACAAAATGTTGAGCTCTGGTATTTCTTAGGGAGGTTTCAGTGATCACTTAACAAAAAGGGACAAAATGTCTTCCATCTCTGTCTTCCTTTCTATACACACAATCACTTCAAGTACAGGGATTGAACAAAGTCTTTGAAAAAAACCAGGAAGTCTGTACAATACAAGCTGCATTTCAGGTATACTGTGATTATCTTTAGGTTCCTGGATGGAACAAATTTCATTTCTGTTACTTTTTAAAGAGAGAGCCTGGAAACCTGTGGCCCTTTGTTTTTGTCTTCTGTATGTCAATAAGAGCAGATACAAATACTCCAGCTCTGAATGTACAGCCTTACAGGGGACAAGGAAACTAGCTAATTCAGGCATGTGAGAGTTTTAGGTAACACTGTCAGCATAATTGTCTTGCCTACTTGGCAGTATTTTTAGATGAAGCCACTTTGAGATTAGCTAAGTGACTTAATTTAGCATTTCTTGCAATAATTCCTTCATAAGATGTCCTTATTTAAGACATCTGGAACTGATTGTAGGGTTCAAACATCCTCACATGCCCTGTAGAGATGTAAATAAAACCAGAAGTGAGATAATGGTCATACCATCTACAATAGGAGAAATTGCCATCTGGTACCAGAGCAGAGTTAAAAAAAGTTTGGACTGTCTGGATTCAAGCACTGGCTAACAAAGAGGGTTGGGTGCTGGTAGGGTCAGTTTCAAAGGCAGACATCCCAGAAGTACAAGGACAGCCTTTTTAAGGCTAAGTGCTCTGTCAGACTTTGCTCCTATTCAGGAAATGTGTTTGTTATTAACAAAACTACTCATAGTCCTTAATTTTATTGTTCTGAAGACTCTAGAGTCATACATTTCGATAGTTTGTCATTCAAGTTTTGGATTAAGTTTTTTCAGGAATTGATACTTTGAAACAGAAACTAAATAAGATTATAGTTTACTGGACTTGTGTGTTTGAAATGACTCAGTAAGTTTAAAGAAAGTTCTGTCTTTAAGCAGTTCAGTTTATATGTACGGCCCATCTCACTTATTTCAGCTGTTTTTTTTTCCCAGTTCACTTCTTCGTTATGGTGGAAACCTCTCTCTTCAGAGTGCCATGAGTGTCCGGTTCAACAGTAATGGGACCCAGCTGCTGGCTCTGCGTCGGCGCCTTCCCCCAGTCCTCTACGACATCCACTGCCGGCTGCCTGTCTTCCAGTTTGACAACCAAGGCTACTTCAACTCATGTACTATGAAGAGCTGCTGTTTTGCAGGTGATCGTGATCAGGTAATAAGCAAGTGATGTTGTCCCGAGTCTCCAGAGTTCCCATGAGTATTTGAGAACACCTCTGTAAGGGTGGCTTTTTTCTGATTCATGAGGTAAAACAAGAGACAAGACACATATAGGGTTCTTCAGAACTGATTTGCCATGTGGGCTGTGAAAGAAGGAAAACAAATAACAAAGTATGTAATAAATTTTAGCTCTTGTTTGATGTAATCTAATACTTACTTGGAAGATAATATTCAGAAAGAAAATATTTGCAGAGGCTTTTTGGGTTCAATTAATATGATGTTTTCTACTCATCTACATATAATAAGGAAGCATTTACCTTGCATTTCAATATTGCTACTGAGTGCAGTAGAGGCAATGCCACAGAATGTAAATATTGTGGATATATAGAGTTATTGATTCTTATTTCAAATGACAGTGTTTCTCTTTTAATACTGTACTACTGGATCAGGTAGGATAGGTCTTCGTAGCTCAGTGTTCTGTAAGTGATGATGGCAGGTGCTTAGGAAGGAATAGTCTGTTGCTTTACTGAAGTAGGACTTTGTCCCTACTACTAATCACAGAGAAATAGGTCACATATAAAGTGGCTAACAGCAATTCATATGATTCTAGAGCCCAATATTGTCTTTGGACAGTTGTATATCTAATAACCACTAACACTGTGTAAGGACAAAAAATATATTTTCAAGCCATGATAGTATAGAACTATGATCCAACAATTTCTTCGCTGTCATCAGCAAAATTCCTGCAGTCAGAATTTGATCATTAATTCTATTGCTGCTGCTGCAGGAGGCAGAGTTGAGCTTCTTTCAGATTGCAAGTAGGAAATACATTTACGTCTGTGAACTTGAGCAATGTTTCTGAGTTGTGCATAGTTTTCGACAGGAGTGTGAAAATGTGATAACGAAACCATCTTTAGAAAAAATTAATGGTTTACTATAAAGAATGGGAAAACACTTGTATTGTTTAAGAAGGAAACCACTGACAATTTGTGGTTCATTATTCTTCTCTGGAACTCAGTGTAGACCTGTGTACACTCTGATGTATAGTTTAGCTTCTCATCTGCTACTGAAGATGTAGATAAAAGCCCTAGTATGTGTTACTCTGCTTTATGAGCCATTTTATTATGGGTGTGGTATTACTTTAACAGGAAGAATATATCTGTTCTGCACCGGGTTGATGCAATACTTCAGGAGCCTGCATTTTTAAAAAACTTGGTATTCTGGTGGCTTGACTGACTTTCTGTTCAGATAAGTAGCAGCACATAATGCTGCTAATGAGTTGGAAATCAGAGCAAAAGACATTTATATTGTCTTATAAAGCTATGTGAAGCTAATAGGGAAGATGAAGTTTAATAGGGAATGTTAGAGAGATGTGGAATTTGACATTTAGACACAGGCTCATAGTCCTCTTCTAAGGAAGGAAAAAAGATAATGAAGTCAGAAAATGCCACACATGCTTCAACTCTATGTGTCTAGAACTGTCCAGTAATGTTCAAATTCAGTGACTAAGATTGTCAGCACTATGGATAGTCCTTAAGGACTGCCTTTTACAGAGAACCCAGTTCCAATTCCAGGTGTATCGAGAAAAGAAGATTAGAGTTGGAACCGACTATAAGATAGAAAAGATGAATAAAAAAATTGCAACATTTTTTGAGTTTTGCTCTTCTATACAACTAGTATGCTTTTGCACAATGTATATGAGTCTTCACCCCTGCAAATCAGAATTCATCAAAAGAAGAAATAAATCTGTATCCAATTTAATCTGGTTCTGGTCTGCTCTCCCTTTTGCTATTGATGTCCTATGCCTTAATAAAAAATGTCTTTTATTTGAGATCCATGCAAAGTAAGCTCCATAGAATTCCTTGCTTGTATTTCCTTGTGGGATCAAAACTTTGTGTGGGTGAAGGCTTATTTTAAATGATCTAAGGATAAGAAGGTTGTTTTCAAATTGTGAGTGGCACTTGTGGTAGGAAGGCTTCTTCAGCAATTTTTTCACATCGTACCTCTGATGTTCCCTGTCTTCGATTTTTCATCTTTATTAAACTGCTGAGTTAATATTTTTTTCTCTTTTAAGTTGTCTTAACTAATTAGGTTTTAACCCTTTACACAGAACCTAGTAATTTAAAAATGTGACTCTCCTGTGTTCAAAATTATGTATTCACTATTATGTGTTGTCTGCACAGGTAGTTCATCTGATAATTTTGCATTTCTATTCTATACTTTAACTCTAATGAGGAAGGGATGTCCTTAACTCAGCAGTGCTTAGAATGCAGTTGCATTGGGAAAAAAAAAAACAACTGTTCAGAGGGAGAGGCCTTTCATCCAGTAGAGGTGATGTAAGACCTTTTACTGATACAACTTCCTAACTTTGCAGCAGCACTTACTTCTTTTTCTGGGTTAATGACTTGTATTGACACTCAGGGGGCTCAGAGCATTTGAATGTGATACAAGGAAGGGATCAGATGCTGGGTGAGAGGTGGAGAGATGGCCTTTAAGCTTTGTGAGACTCAATTCCTCATAGAACTACAACCTTTGTTTATATTTCTCTGAAGTTTGTGCATAGAAAATGGTTTACTCAAAGGAAGTTTTCTCATAAATCATGACCATCATGGTTTAAAAACCTGTAACTCTTATTTTTGGGTGAGCCTTTGTAAATAACATCATGTTGCCCATGGAGCTGTTGGATTCTGGTATGGCAGAAATGAGCAGATTTTGAACTGCAAGCTCACAACATAAGAGTTGTCTTGGAGATCACCCTTTTATCTTAAGAAACCGAGTACTTAAGTTCCCATAATGATCAGATGTGTTACTCTTACTTTGAAAAGGTACGTGTGTTAAATTAATACAATTTCTTTGCATGAATAAAGCACAGACTACTAGTTGAGGAACAGTTTGATTGTTTTGTCTGTTGATGGCAGTTAGACTCTATACTAATCTTTTCAGTATCACTTTTTTAGTGCTCGCAGATTGTGACAGGTGCTCAACAGGACTTGGATCCAGAACTCCCAACTTGTTACTCTAGAGGGAAGGTGTGCAGTAAGCTGTATACCATCTCCTTTTATTGGAGCATCTCTGATGCAAGTGGATTGAAATCTCTTAGCAAAAAATTATATACCAGTAATGCTTTATGGTACAAAACACAGAAAGATTCACTTGGTAACGCCAATGATCTTCTTGGTTTTTTAAGTTTAGAAGAACGCCTTCTGAAGTGCTTATATGGTTTTGAGGTATTTTGGGACACAAACTGAGTGACAGGGGTCTTAAAGAATGAACAGCTTTGTTTCTTTTTGTGGCCTTGCAAACTATCATTTTCCTCCAAAAGCATTATTGTCCTAGTCCTTGTGAACCTCATTTGAAAATCAATGAACAGTATATATGAGCACTTTTCCTAAGAATGCCACAGCCATACTCTTCTTTTTTCTCCCAAAGAGAAACAAAGCCTGCGAGGCACTGTTTAACTGGTGTTTTATTTGCACCCACTTATAACTGCCTTCATTTGCTTCCCTCAAACTCTCTCTTTTGTCTATGTCACTAGTGTAATGACCTCATTCACTTGAAACCGATTTTTTCTATTCTTTGAAGGTGAGCTCTGATGGTGGTAGATAAACAGGTTCAAAATTGAATGGCATTTGCATTGTCCAGGAGCTCACTTGAGTCATACAGCTGTGGAAGGGAGGAAGGGTAATGTAGGCTGGATGGATCAAGCATGACTCTCAGCTTCCCACTGTCTTTGTTGGCCGCAGAGATTTGTGTGAGACTGTAATTTATCCCTCCTTCTGGTATGAGCATCCAGGTCCAGAATTTTAAAAGCAGTTTATTTATGCATCTTAGTCCCACTGACTTAACCCTAATGTGCACGACTTTACCCTAATGTGCGCAAGGGTTTGATTAAATACAAATATTAAATATGTGAGAGTCTCAAGTCATGCTAGGGTGCTGGGTGAGTTTCTATTCTTCTTGTCAGCATTAGAATTTGGGAAATGTTGATTAAATGCTAAGGATTTTTAATTGCTAGACTGGTATAGAAAATATCTTCTTGTATCTGAGGATACAGAAAGTATTGAAGGGCATCAGGTACCCAAATGCATTTTTAAGTGGAGGAGGCTCAGAGACCATAGTGATGGGCAGCAGCAAAAACAGGCCCAGAAAAAAACCCCACAAAACACAATCACCCTCCAAACTAAAATAGACCAAAAGCTTTTCTTGCTCAAGAATTGTTGCCTGTGTCACAATGATGAATGCTGTCTGCTCATTCCTTTTTTTCCCTGTGTAGATAATATGAGGCTCTATAACACTTGTGGTTGTAAAATCAACTGCCTATTGCCTGCTTTAAAAGAGAGGGGGTGGGGAGAAATAACTTGTACCCTGTGAATCCAACAAAAAGTGGCTTGACTCTGGCATGCCCTCAGACATTACATCACCACTCAGCCTTTTCTGTTGACATTACACTGGTATAGGAGAGTTTCAGGAATGCACTGCTCATGGTACTGCAAGACTCCTCCAACTCCCTATAAAGTTACAGCCTTCATTATGTTGAAATCTGTGTTCTAAATAGCCCTGGTTAGGGACAAGGCAGTTTTTCACAGGACAGAATTATTACATGAATGTAACTCTTCCAAGAACAAGGTTAGCTGTATAGGTGCCAGTGGTCTTGTATCGTGGTATATTGCCTTTGTAAAGAAATAGAACTTTTCTTCAGTGGTGTACTTTGTGTCATCTAAATTAAAGGTCTTTTATCTCGGGAGGTAATGCTTATCAATGGCTAGATTTAAGAACTAAAAAGAAGAAAGGGAATTATTCTTTTAGAGAATGTATTGTGGGCTTCCTGTGCACAGAAGACTTCTTAATGAATAGTAGCTTACTGCAGTCAGCATTTCTTAAAATATGAAAAGCACTTGGTGTGCAAATATGCTGCTGTGCTTGGATAGAAAGAAAATCAGTGTCTTACTCTGTCTTAAATTTGGTTTCTTCCAAGAATTACTATTGAGATTGTAT